TTACTTTTTATTGCTTTTTGACTTTATCAATTTATTGGATTCTTTTTCTTTTTGGTTACTTTTTATTGCTTTTTGACTTTAAGAATTTATTGGATTTTTTGTTAGTTTGTATTGGTTTTTTAAAAAAAATGTTTTTACATTCTGTAAGCCACCTCGAGTCGCCATGGGCGAATTGGCGGCAATGTAAATTCAATCAATAAAATAAAGAGATAAAACTTCCAGACCTGGGTCAGAGAGGACTAGAAACTTGGTTTGGCTTTTAAAGCTGGAAAGAGCCAGGGATGTCTCTGGCCGGGGGAAGCAGATCGGATGGTTTTAGCCTCTTGATTGTCGACGGCAGGGAAAGCAACTGCAACCTCTTGGATACGCTGCTGTCGCGCATGGAGCAGTACGCCAACAATTTAGAAGAACTGGTGGAAGAGCGCACCCAGGCCTACCTGGAGGAGAAGCGCAAAGCTGAGGCGCTCCTGTACCAGATTTTACCTCAGTAAGTCCCCTTTCCCCCTGCGATCATAGCCGTCGCCGCTCAACAAGAGCCTTCCTGGACAGGAGCAGTCTACCTTTGCATGCCAGAGGTTGGGGCTGTCGCCTTGGGAACGGGCAGGGAAGGCTTGGATTCCCACTTCGTGACCGAGCTCTGCGGTGAGACAGATGTTTACCTTGACAAATTTTCATTTTTTGAGGTGGGTGAGCAGGGATACAATCGAGGTCAAAGGAGGGGCTAATACCACTCTGTAAAGCCTTAGTAAGGCTACACCTCGAGTACTGCATCCAATTTTGGTCACCATGCTATAAAAAAGGATATTGAGACTCTAGAAAGAATGCAGAGAAGAGCAACCAGGATGATGAGGGGACTGGAGGCTCAAACATACGATGGACGGTTGCAGGAACTGGGCTTGGCTAGTCTAGGGAAGAGAAGGACCAGGGGAGACAGGAGAGCATCTTCCAATATTTGAGGGGCTGCCCCAGAGAGGAGGAAGGGGGTCAAGCTATTTTCTAAAGCGCCTGTAGGCCAGATAAGGAATAATGGATGGAAACTGACCAAGGAGAGATTCAACCTGGAAATAAGGACGAATTTTCTGACAGAACAATCAACCCATGGACCAGAAGTTGCCTTCAGAAGTTGTGGGAGCTTCATTCCTGGAGGCTTTCAAGAAGAGACTGGACCTGCCATTGGTCAGGAATGGTGTAGGGTCTCCTGCTTGGGTGGGGGTGGGGGTTGGGATAGATGACCTACAAGGTCCCTTCCGACTCTTTGTTAAATCTGTAAAACGGTTGATTTTATACCGGGCTGCCAATTAACTGGTAGGCGTTGTTGTGCCCAGCTCGGTGGCCGAGCAGCTGAAACGAGGGGAGACGGTGCAGGCGGAGGCCTTCGACAGCGTCACCATCTACTTCAGCGACATCGTGGGCTTCACCGCCTTGTCGGCAGAGAGCACCCCCATGCAGGTGAGCGCGGGGTGGCGGCGGCGGAAGAGCTGGTGAAATGTCCCCTCTGGCCTCTCAAGTCGGCTTGAAACCATCCCGCAAACCTTGGGGGCCTCTGGTCTGTTCCCTTGGGAAGGTGACACGTTCACCCTCGTTGAAGAGACCCTGGTCTGTCCCGGCAATTTTTTCCCCTCTTTGTTTTCCCAGGTGGTCGCTTTGCTGAACGACTTGTACACCTGCTTTGATGCAATCATTGATAACTTTGATGTCTACAAGGTGAGAAGGGTCTTGGTATGGTTCTCTCTCTCTCCCTCTCTCTCTCTCATCTATCAATCACAATCTCCATCCATCCTGTCTATCTTATCTATTATCTCCTT